AAATAAATGCAGCCTAGGTGATTGAAAGAAAAGAGAAACTTTACCAGAAACTGACTGTTGTTTGTTTCTTTCATTTCTCAGGAAATAGCTAGCTGTGTCTAAGGAAAGCATGGGAATAACTGAAACTATTTACATTTTTTCATTAAAAAAAGCAGTAAACCAAAACCATAGAAAGGTTAAATGACTTAAAAGTATTTTTTATGCAAAATAATAATTGTTTGGTGCACACTAATGCTGTGTTCAATAGATTTTGTATGCTATGTTCAGTATAGGATGTATAGTTAACACCCTTAATCTCAAAGAATGTTAACGTTTCTTGAAAAGCTGCCAAGAGAGAGACCGCTTTGCATCACTTGGTCCACTCACTCTTTCAAAAGGCAAAGCTTGCACCCTTTCTTTTACTGTTTTTACTGTCTCTCCTGTTGAAACTCTTTTGGTGATGCCTCCAGTACCAGTGTCCCAGCAGGAAGGATAGTTTTGCTTTGTAGGTTTTTGTTTTGGTGGGGTGTTGGGGTTTTTTTTGGTGTGACATTCTGTCCAGTTAATGTTGTCCTGTTGCTGAAAAGCTGGGAGATAGCACAGGGTCTGTGTGCCAATAGATGTGCCCACTCCATTGAAGTTTTTACCTAAAGGGAGGTGACAATCATTTAGGTTGAAAAAGACGTTTAAACCAGCAAGGTTTATGCTCTGCTGGCGCAGAAAAGCCTCCAGCTGCGTGGTTGTACCAATGGCCATACTGCCAGCGTGGCTGTTGAGGAATACGTTCCTCCTCGCATGTGGCTCGCTGTGCAGCTCCAGGCTGAGCTCTGCGGAGCCAGGAGCCCGAGGCAAGAGAACGTGAGCCCCTTTGTACAAAGAGGGCACGGGGACCTCTAGTGCCAGCCAGGGGACCAGGCACTCAGAGACCCAGACATCCCCGTGCCTAGACTGTGAGGGTATAAACACCCAGGGGATCATTTGCTCAGGGTCCCTCCTCGGAGACACCAGCTCCAGCTGTTATTTTGCGATTTAATTATTGCACCATGATGAAATTATTTTAAGGATTTGGACTGGATCGGAAGTCTGAAACTGCTGTGGGAACCCTAGGACAGAGCCTACAGGGAAACCTCGTATGCCTGTGAGTGTGGGGTGTGCATCTACGAAGGGGCCGTGGTGGCAGAGTGGCTGTGGGGTTTCCTTGAAATGGCTGTATTTTGGAACACGTTCCCACCGTGCTAAGCAGCAAGTTCAAGCTCCCCGAACTTGTTGCTTTCTGCGGGGGCCCGTGGAATCGGGCGCAGTTCTGTTTCCTGTGCCGGGGGGTGTGTGCGGCGCGGGCAGGTTAAAGGCAGCCCGCTGTCAGGCCGGCAGCTCGGGGCCCGGCGGCGGAGGGCGCAGTGCGGCCTCTGGCCGCGGGGAGGCGCTGCGGGCAAAGCGCGGGGGGCGCTGCCCTGGAGGGCCGCGGGATCCCCCGTGGGACCGGCGGCACCGCGCTTCCCCCGCCTCCAGCGGCCAGCAGCTCTCGCCGTCCTACGCGGTAAATATAAAAGAAACCTTTACCCCCTCTCCCACAGAAGGTAAAGTTGGGCTGGTGTTTCTCTGGCACGGTGGAGTAGTTTCAGAAACATTTCCTGTTACAAAGCTGCAGGTTTGCAATGCACGATTGCTCGGAAGAGACCTGTCAAATGATGTGCTATTTGTGGTAGGCTATAGGGCCTCTAGGCGGTCTTCCAAAATTGTACTTCCCAATATCTTGTCTAGTTCATAATTGTCTTTTACTATTATTATTGCTAATTCTAGGAATTCTCTGCACATGTGAATTCAAGTTACTTGCAGTAGTCCTCTCTCACATGGATCTTTCATTGACTATGTTTTGTTTTTTCAGTGTTTCTCATTCTTGGGTTGATCCTCCATCAGCAGGTTTACCTGCTTCAATGGAATTCCCATGTACGTGGATTTCTATGCACCCCTGCCAAAAAGTTTGGATATCTGAGTTCTGAAGGGTCTAATCCAAGGAGACAGTGCTCTGGGAAGTGCTGTTGTGCTGTGATCATTCACTATTACATTGCTGCATGTTTCATGATCTGTAATCCCTCCTGATGGAAAGTTCTGCTAATGTGGATTCCTGTTAGTGAGAGGTGCAGAGCTCAGGTGTTATCTTGCACAACTAGTGATGCAAGCATCAAGAACTGTGGCAAGGGAACCCCACATGACTTCAGGAGGCACTTCAGTGTAAAATCAGTCACCCTTTGACTGATTGAAGTCAACAGAACTTAAGTGGAATGCACATGAAAATACATCAAAGAATTTGCTGTAATGCATCGAAGAGTTCTAAGACCAAGTCTTCTATTTTTAAATTTTTTTTTATTTGTTTAGAGGTTCCAGAATAGCAGTGTTAAAAATTATTGAATAAGGCTTTTTGTTGCCTGTTTTTGTTTTGTTTAAGGATGAATTTAGGTATAACAGTTGTTAGACTTCTGATATGTTTTAAACTGACAGATAATCTGTAAAACTTGCTCAGGTTATATAGAACCCACAATTTTACATTGTCCTGTTTAATAAGATGGTAAGAACAAATGTGAGGGAGGAGTGTATGTGAAATGATGTACCAAGACAAAAACGTAAGCCTTGTGTCTTGCCTTCATTTTTTATAAAATGCTGTTTTCATAGAACATAATGGAGTATAGAAGTCCTGGAATTAATCTCCACCCATCCATATACTTACATAAATATATACTTATGTATTCCCTGCTATCTTCTCTAGAAAACTTCTTGATGTTCTTAAGAGTCAAAAGCCACCCTGAAGGAAAAATCAGTCAAAAGCTTTTTGATACATCTATTTTGTATAAGCTTTATTAGTTTATTAGGTTTAGTCTTGAAATATGATCATTTATATGGAGGGTGGTTTTCATTACTTGCTTGTGTTTTGTGTGTCCTATTACTTGAAAGGCTATTGTTTTCTAATTTTAAAAAAGTATAGTTTCAACACCTAATTGTTTTTTAAATTGATGAGTAACTCATGACATATGCTGCATGTTGTGTAAAATGTCACACCTTGTGCACTTAATGTAAGTGGTGCACTAAGTGCTTGCACTTCATGTCACCTCCACCTTGTGTCTACATGCATAAGAAAACCTCCATAGGGTTGTTAAAAGCATTTTGATACCTAGTTTGAGCCATTCAGAGGGTGTTTAAGAAGGGTACAAAGTGAAACATCTGGTTGCCCCATCTGTAAACTGCACTTTGGCAGGTGGATGGTTGGAAGCATTCTCAGTCTCATGGAAGCATCTGAATTTCTCTCTTGTTCCCAAATGCAAGGAACTGTAAAGTAGGTTTGTGGCAAGATTTCAAGGGCAAAAAAAGAAATTCTATAGAAAATAATGCTGTTATGAATAAATGATGGCTTGAGCTTGTAATGACTCACGATCTGTTGTAATCACAAATTGTCTTTGTGGTATCTTTATTATTTGTTTTGAAAATACATAAACCCACTTCTCTAAATTTTTTTGTATTGTGGAAAAAATACTGTGAATGAAATTGTTATAGGGAGAATTTTGTGCTTGATCTCCCTTCAGGAAGTGGTATTCTTGCAATATGTCTCTTATGATAAGGTCAGAATTTTGTATTCATTTATAAGGAAAAACTTGTGTAGATGCTTGTATTCATTTGCAAGGGGAATTTAGACTAACTTGGATATCTGGGGATTTTAATGCAGGATTGACTAGAAAAGACATTTTCAGTCTATATAGAACTTGAGAAATGTCTTAGGTGGCAACTTTAATGAACTTGTACCAACTTTCTCAAGTTGTGATGTTCTGAACCACAGATGTGGCAGTTGAGTAAGACTGACAACTTAATCCAGTTGAGCAGCCCCTTGTGAGCATTAACTGAAACAATGGGATGTAAAACATTTTGTGCTGTACACCTTTCCTGGACTTTTTTTTTTTTTTTTTCCTTTTAAGAGCTAAACAGTAGTGAATTTCAGATTAAATACCTTCTTTTAGGGAAGGCATAGAAGTGTGCTATGCTGCATGTGTAGTTTGGGTAATTGTGTTGCATGCATTCAGCAATATCTTGGACACTGTGCTGCCTTCATAAAAATAACAGAATTATGCAGGCTGCCACTGAGCTGTTTGGAGCGAGTATTTAGTGTACTTCCTCTGAGCAGTGTGTACAGTCTTTGGTGGCAAATGAAGTAGGAATATTGCCTAGTATTGTGTCCGTCTATCTCCATTCTGTGTAGTAAATAAAAGAATGCTTTAAATCAAACAATGATACGTGCATTCCCAATTGTAGAACGCCTTAAGGAACATTCTTCTTCTATGCTAATGTATTTCTTTTGTCCTTGAACCTTCTGCTCCAAATGCAAGTCATCTTTCTGGCTTCTGTAAGCTAAATATAAAACAACATTTAAACTTCCTGAAATAAAACCAAAAAACTCAGCTAAACCAGGCATGTATAGAGAAGTAGCCCTAGGGATGGATGTTTGGACAAGAGACAGGTTATTTCTGTACTTGCAGTTTTCTGGAAGGTGGTGCAAATATTTTAAGTGGTAAAAATAGCACTAGAGTCCCTGCAGAAAGAGAACTCAATATATAATAAAAGTTAGTATTTTTGTAGTTAGTGGCTAAAACTGTATGAGAATGTGAATGGTGATGTTATATACACCAGCTTTAAAAACAAAGTGCCTAGACTTTCTGAATGATAAGTGTTATCTTTCAAATACAGATGAATGCTCTCTGTACACTTCATGAAAATAAAGAGCTATTGAACTCTGTCAGATACGAGTTTGCAAATGTGTTGCGAATTTTTTTAGTGCTTAAAATTTTCCCAGTGCTAAATAGTGCCTCCTTGGCGTGCAGAGTTTTGCATGCATTAGTTAATATATAGACTTGGTGGTGTTTGGTTTTCTTATCAGTCTGCACAGTTAAATGTCTTTAGAATCTGCCTTGGAGCAGCTGGCCGGCAGCTGACGCTGCTGTTGGCACCACCCAGGTTTGACATGACATCACCAGAAGTCCACCTCTGTGCTCAAGGAAGTTGATGTGGGAGCCGCACTCTGTGGAGCATAGCTGCTGAGACCACAGAGGGCATGTAAAAATGGAATTCCTGAAAAAAATTGTTCCCACTGCTGCTTCTGGTGATGTTGTGGACGTTGGGAGTACAGCCCGTGAAAGCTCTCCAAGGCTGCTGAAGATGAGACGGGTCAGACTGTTTTCATTAGGACAGACAATAGATGAAGACGAGGAGACACATATTTTACATCCTGAATACTGTATGTATCCATGTCATAATCTGGTGAAAACTGATTGCTAAGCTCTTTCTTCAGATCGTGGTTATTTTGTTAAACTGACAAATTTGATTCTAAATAGCCTTTTTATCAGAGTTCCTATGATTATGGTGTCTTGAGATTTAGAACTATTTTATCATTGATGCATTATCATTTGTGAGTGACCTATGTGGAAGCAATTTTTCAGGATTTCTAATTTTAGGATTTCTTCTTGTCTTTGAATGCCTGTGTGACTTTATTCCCTCTTTTTGGGATAAGAATATGCTTAAGTTTTTAAACTGTAATGTACATAAAACTAGGCACTAAGTTGTTTAGACAAAAGTGTGCTACACAGAGATCTGTGACTGCAGTGCAAGGTGTGAGTTTTGTCATCTTTCCCTGTTTTTCTGATCCCCTCAGTTTTCAAAAGCTTTCCTTTTAAGAGTTTTTTTTTGTCTCAAAGTAGTGTATGTTTCCCTTTTTTAGTGTTTCAAAGATTGCACATTTTTAGTAAACCTAATATGTAAATAAGTCAAATAAGAATATTGATACTGAATAGAAAATTTTTAACCTCAAGAACGTGGGTAAGGTTGCTTTTTTTGGTTGATCTTTTTTTTAAAATTTTTTTTACTATGTGTTAGTGGCTAAATATTACAGTGTATTTTACTAATAAAAAGTAGAATTAGTTCATGTTTCTTTTTCAGATAGTACAGCTAGGTGGTAATGGAAAATTCAGTTTTACTTTTTTTTTTTTCTTTTTGCCTTCAACTAAAATAGTACAGTCTTGAGCCTTTATGGTCTTGGATTCTGCTGGCTGTCAGATGCAGTTTTTGCCTTTTGCTGTGTGGTTGGATATCTTCAAGAATTAATAGGACTTCTAGAATTTTTTCCTTACCTGCATTTTTTTTTTCCTGTCTACCTGCAGAGGTGGGAGATTGAGACATTTTTCTCTCTGACTGGGTGATGAACTTACAGCCTTAGGTAACTAAGCTTGTGGTGTTGGTGGGAGAAAAGGATTTCCTTGGAAAGACTTCTCTTAGCCTTTCTGATAGTAACATGAACCACTTTTTTCAGTGCATCAGGTTGAGTAAGATAGGCAACTGAGAAAAGCAGGGACAATTCTGTTGTTGTTCCTGTGCACAGCAAATTACAACAAGTTAATGTTCTAATGCTATGGGTTATTGAAGGCTGCCTACACAATAAAGTCTGTTATGGCTGCCTAAATACCAAAACTGATCAGAAGCCCATGGTGTCTGATGGTGAAAGGTTTTTAGCCTCATTTAACTTGGAATGCTGTACAACAGCCCTAGAGTTTATAGTTGGATGTCACTGTGAATTTAATATCTCCATAGGTATGTCTCACCAGTCCTGCTTTTATGCTATATTCTCATTTCTTGATAGCTGTCAATTTAAATTTTTTAAATTAAATTAATTTTAATTTAAATAAATTATTTTTTTCCATATGTTATCATTTCAGAAGAAATAGAACTGTCTTTGTGTCAGAGGAAGACAATTAAAAAGGAAAGTAAAAGAAAATTCTATAGGCTGAAGTTTGTGGACAAAACATGAACTTTCATCTTTGTTCAGTGTTTTGTTGATAGTTGGAGCAAATAAGGATAGTAAACATAGAATAAACTACTCTGACTGTTAAAGATGAATTTTCCTCTCTTGGTCATTAAATATGTGCCAAATGGTGACTATTAGGAGTGATTTTGTGGAAACCAACAGTGCCTGACTAATATTGCTTAATAGTGTGATGTCATCATTTACGAAATGAAGACTTAGAGTCTGTTCTGGGATCATGCTTTTACAATAGCAGATAGTAGCTGAATCCTCTTTAAATTATCTGCTTATTTCTATTTTTGTATCTTGGTAATGGAATGAACTGCTCTGCTGGAATAGAGCAAAAGAACTACTGTGTTTACCAGTTGGGTATGCTGCAGAAGGCAGGTGCTGACCAAACAGGTAATAAAACAATAGAATTATTTGAAAAAACATTGTAAACATTTACTTGCTCATTGTTGACAAATGTGGTGTTAATGCACCACAGAATTTAATACAGTAAGACTGTTGAGGAACTCAGTTTTTTAAAGCTAAGGTTGTTTGTCCTATTAATATATTTGAATTTGAGAGTGAGTGGGGTTTATTTTTTTTTTCTGTTTACTTTCTGTTCCTTATTGCTGCCGTTTAAATTTTTTTTTGTCTTGGTGAGAATTTAGGGGAAATACTGAGCCTGACAATTATTTTGAAGTATAACCATATTTTAGAAGTTCTCCAACTGACAGACCAAGCAAAAAAAACCTATTCCTGGCATCAAAACCTTAAAATATTATTTTTATAATACCACTGAGTTGGGTTTGCATCTAGCTGACCTGAAAATTTTGTGAGAAATTCAGGTGATGAAATTTTTTGTTGTTGTTTGTTATTAAAATATTTTTCATATCAGCTTTCAAAGTATTTACTTGGTATATACTTTGTTTTACAGCTGAAAATAGGACATTACAAATATATGTTCTGTGATATATCTTTTAAAATATGTAGTTTCCATCAGAATGGTTTTAAGTGTATTTTAGTGTCTTTTTAGACACTGTATTTAATGTCCTTTTAGATGTATAAGATTACTACAGTTGTTACGAAAACCACACCTGACTTGTTGAATTATTTGCATATGACTGTATGCATCACAACACTTAAAAGAGGTTGGTAAAAGAATAGGCAGTTTTTTAAAATTTGCTGTAGCATTTGAGTTTTAAAAATTTGTTTCAAAAACTCTACAATCCAAACAAAACATGCAAAGTTGAGCATGGAAGACACAGATTGTGATGTTAAAGAAGGGAAATGTCACAACTCTGCCCTGTGTGAACTGGCAAATGGCAGCTGTACCTGTGGTCTGTGAAATGTGCCCTCCTGTTGCAGCTCAGTGCTTTCCTTGTGCTATAAGGCAGGGTAGCTAGTACTGTGGAACTGTCTTTATGGCCATCTGTGTAAGTCAAATCTGCAAGAACTGTAGAAGACATGTTAATTTTATCAGTGATGTGAGTATTCTCAGTGCTCACAGCCCCCATGTTGTTTCTGTGTACGGAAAACCTGCTGCATTTCAAGTGCCTCTGCTAGGAGAGTAAAAATACACCAACAAGAATGTGTTCTTTGATGGTAAAGTAACGGAGCTGTAGCTGCCTCAGGGGGTTAGCAGCAGGGGCTGCATACATATAAAGTACCTGTGAGCACTGTGTCCCTATAATACCAGCATCTCTGCAGGACATATTCAGCTCCCAGTTGCAACTCTAATCAGCCCTGTACAGCAAAGGATGACCTGGGACTTGGTGTTTCTACCTGAAATAAAAGTCAGTTTCTGTACCCAAGTGCAGAGTTTTGATTAGAAAAGACTGGAGGGGTTGGTGTGCAGTCAGGTACCATGGCTTCCCCCCACAATCTCGATTTTAAAGACTTCAAAGTCTTGCATTTAAAGACTGCTCCATAATACTGTTTGGGATCCAGAATACTATTTACATAAAAATCTCTAACCTCTCTCTTTGTTTTCTTATCACTGCAGATAGGATTGTTTTGCTTGAGTAATGCCCCAGGAAATAGTTCTGTGTATGTTTTCCATAAGAAATAATAGGTGAACCTCTCCTAAGGGCCTTTGGAATATGTGCTTGAACAGAAAGTAGGGAAAGGAGATTTTGGGTTGATTTTTGAATGCAGTTTTACAGGCGGATCAGGCTGATCTAACAGTTTGCTGTCAATGAAAAGGGCAATCTCACTCACAGCTGTGCAGCCTTCACCATCTTCTCTTGGGTTCTGGTGTGGCTTTTCCCTGAGCTGATTAATTTCACAAAGCCAACAGAAAACGTTCTAATGTATTTGGGGCACTTGAAATTAATCGACAGGGGGAATAACTTGCTGATAGGGCCTTTTGGGTCAGTAGTGGGAACAGCATTAGATGTCTTACCATCACCGAAAGTAGCAGTCACCTTTTGGATATCCTCTGTTTTAATTGATTTGTCGAAAATGAGCTCTTTAATATTTTAGATAAATGGGAAAACAAGCATCTCTCCAGAGTTTTATTTTAAGTGCAGGGATGATATGTTTTATTATTACTGCTTATAAGCAGATAAAAAGACCATTGGGTAAATGTTTCTTAAGTAAGGCATTAGCTTAAGATGGAGTCAATAAAGAACTGAGATAAGGTCCAGCAAATCTTTTTAAAAGTAAGCTCAGGTGCAAAGAGGGTATGCCTCTGACTTGTTCATTTTGCCAGTAATACTGAAAATCAACTATAGTTGTGTTTAATTGTCATAGAGATTTCAAATATAATTTTTACTTTTTTTTTTTTTTTTTTTTAATCTGATTCTTTAAAATTGCATACTTGACTTCTGCTGTAGTTTTTCCCAGGGTTTCATCTGAAGAGTGTGTGCAGAAATTTACAAAGAATATATTTTAGTTAAGTGGTGAAGAAATTGTAATTTAGTGCTTCGTACAAGGTGTGTATCAATACAAATCAAAGGTGGATCTAGAAGAAGTATTTCTTCATACTTAAGTTATGCATGTGGGGTATGTTTAGATATAAGTCTGTGGAGTATGTGTATATAGTGAGGAGGTAATTCACTTGTTTTCCTCTTACACATGGTGAAGAAAGCTTGTCAACTTTTTTATTGCTATTGGTCACTTAATAGATTCTTTGTATCGTATTTGCAGGGTCTCTTTTTATGGATCTTCTGGACTTCAAGCATGTGAAAGGTTTTTTTCAGACATAGTGTTAGCATGAGCTTTCATGTGACAGCTGAATCAATGCAGTGGCTCAGTGTTGTGAACAGGAGATTGTACCCTTCCACCTCTGTAGTTGTCATGTATATTTGTTTTTGGTATTCACGTTGCATGTCTATCTTTGGTGAGACTTCAACACACTGAACCAGAGGAAACTCCCATTCCCTTTCAATACCAGTGAGTAGGCAGCAAACTGGGACACTGAGAAATAACCAATGGCAAATATAGGAAGTGAATGT